CATCGAGTAAGCAATGGAGCATAAATCTTGAAGTTAGAACATGGGGTCGAACTAATCCATAGTTCAACTATGGAACGTGACTTCGATGCGTAATGCATAACCTGACAGTTCCGTGATATGGCAATAGTGTTTACAAGGGAAAAGATTCGTGTAACTCAAGTAGCAGAAGGAATGGCAACGAGGGCGAGTGCCCGTGTGCATGTAACTCAAGTATCGAAAGGGATGACAATGAGGGCGAGTGCCAGTCTAGGTGGGAGTAACCGGGCGGGGATGGAGAGATTTTTTCCTACCTTAAATTGGCTCCGGCCTATATATATATAATCCTCTTAACTATAACCTGATTTACATGTTTGAACTGCATGAACTAGTAGAACATAAATTAGTCTTAACTCGGGTGAATCTTTTAATGCCATGACTCGTCAGATGGTGCCTGATTGCTTCATCAAACACATTATTATTAGCTAATGATGTGCTGAAATATCCTGAGAGTATCAAGTTTTTTTGTGTCTGAGTGCTTCATCTCATCAGCACCGCCAAAGCGCTTGCTTCCTTCTATCTAAGACGCAAGAAATTTGCCCCTCGATCAAGACATGGAAGAACTTCGAAATTCAGGAGCAGGAGTGATCAAGAATTGTATCTCCATGAATGGTGGAGAAGGGCCTAATAGCTACTCAGAAAACTCCAAGTTCCAGGTCCTGTATTTCCAGCCTAAAGTTCCAATTTCGTAAAGCTCCTCTAATATCCTCATACGTCTCTGAACAATAAGCTACTGTATCTTTTGTATTTCTTGTATAGTTCCCATACTTGATCTGATTGTCTTTTCCACATATAACTAGTCTGGTTAATTAGATTATGCATGTACCACAACTTAATGAAAATTCTTGTTATTTTCTTTTTACAAACTCTCTAAAAGAATCGGCTAAAAATTCAACATCATATTATTAAAAACTTTAATGTTAGACTAATAATAGAATATCCCTCACAAGTTTAGCTTATGTTCATTTTTACCTAAGTTGTTTTATTTATTTTCCAAATAAAATGATTATACAAGGTAAGTAATTATCTACAATACACAAAAGATAAAAGATAAAAAAAAAAAACCTCAAGAATATAATTTAAAAGTGTTAGAGGTGGTCTATTATCAGTCCAAAATCAACCAGAGTTGTTAACGTGATGTTGAATTTTAATCAATTTTGTTGTTTTTAGAATTTATAATAACAAAAAGAATTGAAAGATTTGGAGAGAAAAAAGGAAACAATGGATGGCATGTGGAGGGAAAAAAATAAGAGGAGAAGAAGGAGTGAAATAAAAGAAGTTAGAATGGTGCAATGCAAGGATGTTGGTGTACTGAAGGGGTCAACAGAATCACCTTAATATACATTCTACTCATGGTATAAATAGCACAAGCACTGCTGTTGGCACTTCCATAACTATTAGTGACTGTTGTACCTCTTCCTGTTGTTAATTGAGCTATATGGGTTGGGTTTTAACTCACCTCCCTGTTTGGCACTTGAGTTTTTTGCCAAGTTTGTCCGCTATAAGTTTTTTAAAAACTTTAGTTACAGTAACTTCAAAAAACTTCTTAAAGTTTTGAAACTATACAATTTAAAATATTCAAAAATTTACAGACTTTAAAATTTTTTTTAAAAACTTCTACAGTAAAGTTTTAGACAACTACTCAAAAAACTCACTTGCCAAACGGGGCCGGTACCGACCAGTTTTAATTCCAAACTCAATTTAACTAGGCTCAAAAAATTGTAACTCATGCTAGGTTCTAAAAAAAAAAAAAAAAAAAAAAAGTCTAGTCAAACAAAATAACTAATTAATTTATAAACGTCCCATAACACTTGAATGAAGTTACAACATCAACAAAAGTTTCAATTTCATGACCCAGAAAAGTATAGTTTATAGTAGCACCCATAACTAGAGATAGAGATAAAAAAAGAAACAATTTACTACCAAATGAGTCATCTAACATACAATCATTTAATTGGGTCTAGATAAACAAATCTTTTTAATTCCCATATAAACCTATAAAATGCAAGAAAAAATAAATAAAACAAACTGTATGTTAACATGTTCTAGTATTTTAATAGTTAATGTTAAAAGTTCAACTCACATTCAAATCGGGTAAAATATCTTAATCCAAAATTAGCATAACTCATAATGCATGAGGCTCAATCTAATAAATTTAGGTCAGAGTCAAACAGGCTGATGGGTGTCACCTATCCTCAGGTGATACTTGAGTTTTAATCAAATACTTGTTTATTTCCAAAATGGTTTGTCTATTTTCGAAAATCGAAACAATTGACAACCTCGAAAAGAATTAAACAACAAATATTATAGGATTTTTTTTTTGCTTTTCATATGAATTAAAATGTCAAATGAGTGCCACTAATAACTATTGGAATCCCATTAACAGAATTAGCCTACTTAATTTCTATTACTACTATAATCTAAAATTTGAAAATCCAGCACTGAATAACCAAGTTAATTTCCATATTGGTGTCTTTAAAGCACTGATTCATACATTACTACATATATACTAGTTAAAAGAAAGGGGAATGGAAAAGAACTATAAAAATCCTATAAAGTATTTTTTTCCTTTTTTTCTTTTTTCTTTGAAAGGCTATAAAATTTCTCTATAAAGTATATGTTCTTTTTTTAGTATATTGGTTGATAAATGAATTTATAATTTCCAAGTTAGTACATTGGTTGATAAAACAATTGACAACTTCAGAAAGAATTGATTTTTCCCAAAAAAAAAAAAAAAGAAGAAAGAATAAACAATGTAAATGAGACAAGAGGAGGTATATAATACTGTATTTGCCATATGGAAAAGATTGAGCATGTGAATTTTCATAACTGCAGCCATTAGCTCAAAAACATATAGATAAAGGACAATGGTCCAACCTCTTGCCTAAAAAAAGAAAGGCAACCAGCACATGCTAATAGCTTTTTATTCCTTTGCAAATCAAAGTTAGTAATCAATTATTTTCATGTTTTACTTGAGAATGTGCAAAAGGGAATAATGAGGTCAATAGCAGACATAGCCCCTTTTTTTTTTGTTGGCAAGAACTGGCATAACCTTGATAAAGTGAATCTTAAAAGCTTTTTTTTATTGCCCTTATCCAAAATTTTCTAAAAAAAGTGTATTTACGAATCATACTCAGCTGGCTGTCTCTAATGCTAATAAACTCAAAGTCCTTGCTTAAAATTTGCTTTGGAATCCAGCCAGGTAGGTCTTGCATGCTATGATGACATATCCTGCCCTGTCTATGATGCCTAAATTGGTTTGCATCTTTTGTCTAAAGTTGTAATCCAACTGCTGGTCGTTTTTATGGCAATTGCATGCCATTTCTACACAAAATTCCTTAATGTTCTGTTTTAGAGGTGAAAAAACTTACAAGCTCAGCATTCAATCACAAACCCAAAATTTAGATCTATTTGGGGACTTGATAATTCTTTAGAGCTTTAACCTCATTGGTTATCGAGGATAGGGCTCCAAATGAACTGATCTACTCACAGGTGGTTCAAGTCAAACTCGGTTAACATTGAGTTTGAACTGATTAAGTCGAACTCGAGTTTTAAAATGCTAAACTCATTAACTCGCGAGTCGATTCGAACTCGATTATATATATATATATATATATATATATATATATATATATATATATATATATATATATTATTTTTTATTTTAATAGTAACAGAACATATATATATTTCTAATATTTTATTTATTTTTTCAAACTCAAGCTCGAGTTTGAGTTTCGTAAAATTATGTTAAAACTCGGCTCAATTCAACTTCAGCTCCAATTTGAAGCTCCCCTTTTCTTGAAAACTTTCAATGCATATATTCTACGGACTACTGTTCATTCATGACATGTCAAATTTTCAAGAGAAACTGCATGAATGTGAAGTATTCCAAGTAAAACTGCATATTCATTTGCATATCTAATAGAAGTATTTCCACTGAAAATGAAAGGATGCAGACTTCTTTCTCACTGTTTAAACGTTAGGGTTAAGCCCCTTGGGTTAAATGCTCCTGATTACGTTGTGTGGTGGTTGGTCACTTCCTTTTTTTTTTTTTTTCCTAGCCCTCTCTCTTGTCTTCAACCTTAAGGAAACTTCTCGGGAGCTTGCTGTTCAGTCTATTAGTCAGAAATAATATTAAGGAAACTTCTCGGGAGCTTGCTGTTCAATCTATTAGTCAGAAATAATACAAAAAAATGGCCGACCAGACACTGTCAAGTTTTGAGCAGTGAATTTGACTAGCTTGGAAGCTCAATATTGACAAATTGAAAAGGAACCTGAAGTTGCTGCTGTTCAAAGCAAGAAGCCAACAAATAAAAAACAAAGGATTTGCCAATCGAAAGGACCACATAAAAAGTGCTCAAAACTGTTCTAGGATGGAATTCTTGACGAATTCATATGCAATCCAAGCGAGTCCATGGCTGCAGAATTGTCTTCGAAGTTTAGGTTCAGAGTTCCTGACGGATCATTTTCCATATCATTTTCCATTAGGTCTCATCAGAACAAATTTCTTCTTCACTCCTAAAAATTTTCTGAATTGGCCAAGACGAAATATGCAGAGCACAAAAACGTCGAGAGCAAGACAAATATTGACCAGTTCTAGAACAGATCAGAACCATAGCTGGTTTCTGTGATCGAGACAGTAGATGAAAATGAAGGACTTGGTTTAGACAAATTTTCAGGGAAATTAGCTTCAAGACAATCTGCAACACAAGGCAGCCCACCAAGCCAAGTGGATGATTTGAGGTGGAATTTATATCACAAACTTGACGGCAAATGCCGCCATTGAGATAAGAAGACAAGCCAGCCTTCTTACGAGTAAAGAGGAATCAGCACCGGACAGAACAAAATACATTAGACCAACTGAAAGCAAAACTGGAGTAAAGATTCCCCACAAATCTCGAATGGACGAGCCAACCAAAAACTGGACCTTTGAATTGAATATTTCTGATCCACTCAAAAAGTACTAAGAAAGTATCAATCCAGCATTAAATATAATTTCCGCAAATTGACACTAATATAAAATATCCTCGTACAATAAATATTAACATAATTGTTCCCAGGAAGAAAGAACTTCAAATATGAAAACCAAATGGTAAATGGGAAAAAAAAAAGAAAGAAAACATCACAATCACTCTCCAACTACAAGCAACCAACTAGAATGACGCGGTTGAAGCCATAGGCAGCAGAGCATGACAACGTCCATACATCCCAGCATCCATCGAGTGACAAAAATGCGAACTGCAGATACATCAGAATCACATAATGACGTCCCCTTCAAGCCCCACTTGACAGTTTGATCAAATCAGGAAACCAGATTCACTTCTAATATGACATGAAAAACCAACTAAATGGGTGGAAAATAAAAGCTCACCACCCCAAGCGATAGTAGCAGCTTAAAAGCATTTCCTGTGGACAATTGATGGGCCCGACTCTTCATATTCAGCCCTGGAAATCCACATCTGGTCATCGGAGAAAAGACAACCATGTTAATTCAAAGTCTAATTGATAGCAACAACTTCAGTAAACAGTCAATGAAAGGGTATCATAATTACCTGCTGGAATGTGCTGAGGGATGCAAGGATTGACCCGCCAATCCAAACACTGTACTTTCTCTCTGGAGGTGCAACCACCTTGATCTTCATGCTGCTGGGAGCCAAGGCAGTGATTTCCTTGCTCATACGGTCAGCAATACCAGGGAACATAGTTGAACCACCACTAAGCACAATGTTACCATAGAGGTCCTTCCTGATATCAACATCACACTTCATAATAGAGTTGTAGGTAGTCTCGTGGATACCAGCAGCTTCCATTCCTATGATAGAAGGCTGGAAGAGGACCTCAGGGCAACGGAATCTCTCATTTCCAATGGTAATCACTTGTCCATCTGGCAATTCATAGTTCTTCTCAAGGGATGAGCTGCTCTTGGCTGTTTCAAGCTCTTGCTCAAAGTCAAGAGCCACATAGGCAAGCTTTTCCTTGATGTCACGGACAATTTCCCGCTCTGCTGAGGTGGTGAACATGTACCCTCTTTCAGTAAGGATCTTCATGAGGTGATCTGTGAGGTCACGTCCAGCAAGGTCGAGACGAAGAATGGCATGGGGTAAAGCATATCCTTCATAGATTGGTACAGTGTGACTCACACCATCTCCAGAATCCAGCACAATACCTAGCAGAGGGTAAATAATATACATGTCAAAAACAGCCAATCAACAAAAATCATGAACTTCAATACACCAAAAGAAACTCAGCTTATGCTTACTAACCAGTCGTACGACCACTGGCATACAAAGAGAGAACAGCTTGAATGGCAACATACATGGCAGGAACATTAAAGGTCTCAAACATGATTTGGGTCATCTTCTCCCTGTTGGCCTTGGGATTGAGAGGTGCCTCAGTGAGAAGCACTGGATGCTCCTCAGGAGCAACACGGAGTTCATTGTAGAAGGTGTGATGCCAAATCTTCTCCATGTCATCCCAGTTGCTAACTATACCATGCTCAATAGGGTACTTCAAGGTCAAAATACCTCTTTTTGATTGAGCTTCATCACCTACATAGGCATCTTTTTGTCCCATTCCAACCATAACACCAGTATGTCTAGGACGACCAACAATACTAGGGAAGACAGCTCTTGGAGCATCATCACCAGCAAAACCAGCCTACAAAAGATTAACATAACTTTAAAATTTAAACCTACATAGCCATTAAATATCAAAAGATTTTGCATTGAACTACTGAAATTTATAAACAGATCGAGACTAACCTTCACCATTCCAGTTCCATTGTCGCAAACAAGGGGCTGAATATCCTCGGCATCGGCCATCTCTTACAATACTGGAAAACCAATATACAGTGAAAGTAAACAATCAGCAAAACGTAACAAACCAAATAAACGAAAGCATTACCAAACTACAAACAGAATTCAAGAAAAGTCTAGAAAGAAGCTAAAACAAAAAATTTATTCCGGATTTTAAATACATCGTACGAAGTCACCTTAAATAGTATATCGAGATTCAGGGTGCATAAATTTTATAGTATTCCAAACTCCAAAGCATAATCTCAGTCAATTAACCAACCAATAGAACCAAATTACACTTTTAAGCCACCAAAAAACAATTTTTACTTTCTTTTTCCCAACCAAAAAGCTAATTTACTACAGATAGCACTAGATCTAGAAAAAGATAGAAAAGTTCAAGCAATTAAAACTCAGCCGATCAATGAAAAAAACCAAAAATTGAAGATACAAGTCAGGATAATGCATTAATCCAGCTCAGTTTGAATTTCAACATTAATCAATCAATAGATCTCAGTCCAATAAATCAATTACAGAAAGATCTCACCAAATTAAACTCCACTTAATCAATTTTTCTACCTTTAATCAACAAAACCCAAAAGATTCCATCTTTATCCTACCCATATACTTAAATTCTCAAAAGGGCATCAGCAGATCTCAAAAATCAAGTAAAAACACAAGTAAAAGAACATATAAAACAGAACAGTTCACTAAAAAAATTGAACATTTGACAAAAGATTCAGATCTATACTAAGTTTTCTTGCATACCCAGAAAGATTTAATCGATCTATTAGCAGATTTAAGCTCAAGAATGAAAGCCCACCTCAGAAATTTGAAAGGAGAATGGCTTTGATGGCTGGCTGGCTCTGCCTTTAGAATTTGGTCTTCCTTTCTAGGCAGACGACAGTAGCCTCGGTTGAAATGAAATGAACTGAAATTGAAGAGACGGCAATATATTTATAGTACTAGACTAGAGCTAGTAAAGAACAGTATTGAGGGAGATAAGGGTTTAAATTTAAATGTTTTTGGCCTTTTCTTGACAATGCAAATGAAATTGGTAAAAGCAGAGCTGATAAAGTTTGAAATTTGAAAAAGCCTTGGTAGGTGTGATAAAGTGACAAGTATGCCCTTTTGGTGGAACATAAGATTGTATTTGGATTGCATTTTTCATGATTTTTTATGAAAAAATTACTGTAACGATTTGATGTATGTGAGGGAAAAAGATAATAGAAAAATGTGATTACGGAAAACAACGGTCCGTTTGAATTGAGTGTTTTTGCGCCTGTTTTTTAAAAATTGTTTTTCACATTCCAAATGCTACAGTAAATGTGTATTTCAAAAACATCATATCCAAACAATATATCAAAAACAACTCCAAATATATTTCAATTATGTATATTTAATTTGTATATTTTAATAAGCATATTTCAATTTGTATATTTTAATTATGTATTTTAATATGTATATTTCAATTATATTTTAATATATTTTAATTATATATTTTAATATATATATTTCAATTATGTATTTTAATATGTATATTTCAATTATGTATAATATTATTGAAATAAATATTATATATTTATATAAATACATTTATTTCTATATAAATTTATAAATATATTTATGCAATTTTGTTTTATAATATACATTAATATGCATATTTCAATTATGTATATTATATATAAATTTTATTAATATTAATGTATATTATATATATTATACATTTCTAATATTATATATTTATACATACATATTATAAATATTTTATTTTATTTAAAATATATTTTTATATATTTACATAAATATTAAATGTTATATAAATTATATAAATTATATTATACATTTATATAAATGTACATTTATACATAATATATAAATATTTATGTATATTTATAACATACATTTATATTATGTATTATATATAATATAATACATTTATAATACATTTATACATTTATATTAATATACATAATATTAATTTTACATTTATACATAATATTAATACATTTATACATTTATATAATATTCATTTTTAATTTATACATTTTTAATAATATACACTTATACATTTAAATATACATTTATATTATGTATTATATATAATATAATACATTTATACATTTATATTAATATACATAATATTAATTTTACATTTATACATAATATTAATACATATATACATTTATATTAATTATATAAATACATTTCTACATAATATTAATATATATTTATAATATATTAATTTATACATTTATAATATTCATTTATAATTTATACATTTATAATAATATACACTTATAATTTATAATATATTTATAATATTCATTTATAATTTATACATTTATAATAATATACACTTATACATTTATAAATATATTTATATTATGTATTATATATAATATAATACATTTATATATTTTTATATGAATATATAAATATATTTATTTATAAATATCTATAAATGTATTATAAATGCATAAATGTATATTTATATAAAATTATAAAATTATAATATTCTAAAAATACTCAAAAATATGTTTCAAAAATATCTCTAAAAATAATCCAAAAAAATCTACAGTAAAAGTTTTTCATATAATTTTTTAAAAATAACCCCAAAAACAACTAATCCAAACGGATTTGTTTTTCAGATTCGAAATGCTACAGTGGTGTTTTTGAAAAACAATCCCAAGAACAGCTAATCCAAACGGAGCCGTTACGTAATTTTTCGACGCAAAACAGCAATCCAAACAAGGCAAATTAGTTGGAAAATCTTTTGTTATAGTACTAGAATAGTATGATGATACTCTAATGGTCCTGCTTTATTACTTTGAATAGTACAACAAGATTCCAAAAGTAGGGTATCAATATGAATTTCAACACTAGTACCCTATATTTTCTCCATTGTACCGTAACGAGAAAAAGTTGAATAACCCTGTTTGGCTTGCTATTTTTTGAAATTTTTATAGAAAAATATACAGTAATAATTTAATGTGTATAAGATAAACTGTGATTAAAAAATGTATTCATAGAACACGTAAAAATTTTTTGAAGAAAAAATGAGAAACAAATTTCCTAATGTTTTTATGAGTAAGCATATTTGATAGCATTAAATTTTAGAAGCGTAATAGATAGGTTAAAATTGTTAAATTGTAACTATGAGTTAGTTTGAGTAGAAAAAAGGGATAATATTAGAAACCTCTCTCAAGGTTTCTCTTAAAATCACTTGGCACCTCTAAGATTTTAGAAATAATAGTTACATGTCTTAGTGATTGTAAAAAGACTATATTAACCCTCTTTTGGCACATAATTCACAACATATCAAATAAATGGAGCTCAAAAATTAAAGAGAAAAGAAAAGAAATTATTTGTTGATTATGCAATATTTTATTTGTAACCTCTCTTGAGGTTTCTCTTCATCATTCTCTCTTACTTATATATTTTGGATGATTATGCAATATTTTATTTGTAAATTATAATAAACTAAAATTTATTTATCTTTTACTTTTTGTGATTGTGATAAAGTGAGGTATGATTTATTTGCTTATTTTAAGTTGATTTTTATGTACAATTTAATATTTTTTTGAACAAGGGTTGAGAAGATGTTGGGAAAAAAATAGAAATTCATAAGAAATCAGTTTTGAGCATATATAATAAAATTGATCCAAATGTATTTCTTTTTAAATATATTTTTTATTTTTTCAAATTTATATTTTTATAGAGTATAGCATTGTGATGTGGTAGTACTGCAAGAGACTATTTTTGAGGTGATAGTTTTCTTGAAGTGAATAAAGTGATTTAGAAATATTTTTATTTAGCAAGTGAAAGGGTAGTTTAGGGTTTTTAAAAATTTTGTTACACAAATAACAAAAGTAAGGGGGGTAAGTAATATTTTTAAAAACCTTGGAAATGCCAAATGATATTAAGAGAAACCTCAGGAGAGGTTTCTGATATTATCCCTAGATAAAATGTACTAATAAATTTTGAAGGCACACAATTTCGGGTTTAAAACTTCAGTCATGAATTATCATTAGTACTACTCATTGTCTCTGTGATGGATCCTCGAACTTGGAGCAGGATTAACTAAATGGCCACAGCAGGCCACTTGATTGAAAAATAAAAAAAGATTTAAAAGAAAGCCTTATTGTGGTTTTACTTCAAAAATTACTCTAATATTCACTATAAATTCAAACTTAATTTGTTTTAAATAGGTTTCCAAAATTGCCATCCAACTATTATGGCTTGTGGGGGAAATTGCCACGCTTGTCGACTCTCTTCCATTAGTCCATTTAGAACTATTACAACAATTGAGGCCACCTACATGGAGCTTTATGGATCATGTAAGCCAAATCAAGATTTTGTTATAGTTTAAGGTCTAAAATGGGTTGAAGAGCGAGTAGATAGTAAACATAAAATAAAAAAGGAAGATCTTCTAAACCTTTTGGTCTTATTATTTCATTATGCTCAACAAAAATAAAGAATTTGTATCCACAAGAAATAGGAAAATTGAGAAAAAGTATGGAGCATTATGGTTTAAAACCAATTAACAAAAAAATTATGGTTTAAACATTAACCTAGGACAACCATTAGTTATTGATACTTAACAATTTTGTTTCTTCAAATATACTTATAAAAGATTGAAAAAAAAAAAACCTATACAAAGCTAAGAAATTCTTCTTTTTATCCCTTACAAGCCAAGCTTTCCTATTTACCTAAATAACATGTCTTATATCAGCTCAAATACCATCTTGTGGAACAAAAATTGTGATTTAGTTTCACTATAAAAAACTTTGTAAAAGTTGAAGATTTGCATTACTTTGAGCAATTAAATTTCAAACGTGGCGAATGATGATTATAGGAATAGTTTTGAAAATCTATTTATCATATTGATTTTGTATGTGTTTAATGGGATTTTTTTTAACTACTCCCTCCTTTGTATGCTTCCAACTTATGCCATAACAATTGTCATAAATTATTTCAGTTGCCTTTTTCTTTCTCATTGTGAAACATGTAAACTTTATATATACCACACACACACACATATATTAACACCAAAAACCATGAGGGTGTTTTGGTCAAATCACAAGTTTAGAAGGAACTAAAATTCTGATTAAACACAAGTTTAGAGTAGAACACACGGATGGAAAACGGAATCATTTGGACCACGAGGGAGAGAAAAGAGGGAGATGGTATGTGACCTGGAGCAACTAGGCAGCCTTTCAACGCGTTTCTCAGCCGTGTGATCAGACCTCCACCGTCGGATCAAATATCTTTCGGCTCGGACTTTCTTGGCTTTGACTGCTGGCGGCTAACCAGTTAAAGATCCCACTAGCGCCGGCTTCGCAAGCTCGCTTGGCTTTGAAGGCATTTGAACTGTGTTAGAACTAGGGTGTAATTGAACTGACTGCTCGCGAGTAATTCAGTCAAAATTTGGCTCGAACTCGCAATTGATCGAGTTCGAGTAACTCGATAAACCGAGCAAATCGAGTTTGAGTATCCAGATGCAATGTTTGAAGGCTCGTCGAGTCTTATCAAGTTTTTTAATTTGAATTCTTTAATATATTATTATTATGAAATTATCCCTTATGCCCAAAAAAATGGTTGAATTTACTAAATGTTTCAAGTTGTATGAAAATTTTTAAAAGACAATAATATCTTTTCACTTAAAAATTGTCAAGAAAATGAAAATTTCTGACTCAAGCTTGATAAGGCTCGCATTAACTCGAGCCAATGTGAGTCGAGCTCGAGTTCTGTGAGCAATCATCGAACTCGAACTTGAGTTCCAATATCCTTATTGCATGTCGAGTCGAGTTCGAGTATGGTGATACAATTCGACTCTATTACAGCCCTAATTAGAATCATATGTTCGTTTCAATTAGCTGTTTTTGATGGTGTTTTTGAAATATTTTACCGTAGCAATGTAGGTGAAAAAGTTTTACTGTAGATAAAGTTGTTTTTATGCTATTTTTTTATGTTTTT